TTCAAAAGATGTTTTCAAAAAACCACAGTGTTTAGATTTTTGTATTCGCGCGCCTACTCGAGTTCAACATCTACAACATAACTAATTACATGCATAGAAAGAGCAAAAAATTTAGAAACATTGGTCTCATTGCACTCACTAGTGAAAATGAAGTATTAAGTTCACTAATTATTTCTAGCGCTTCATTGCTAATTGAGAACATGCATGCGCAAAGATTCAAAAGCGTAATATTATATCTAGCGGCATATTTATACTGAGGAGCAATTAAGAAAGCTTTAAGAATATTGTCCATAGGTCTGGGCGCGTTCCTGGTGGAACGATTGTTCTTTCCCAAGAACGAACGGAAGGATCAAGAACGATCCCATTGTTCCGAAACAAAAAACGAACGCTTAGAACGCGTTCTTAAAAATATTGGAACAATTAGTAACAGAACAGAACGGGAATTGCTTGAAAGAACGGTTAAAATCGTTAACGCGTTCTTATTATCAAGAACTCGTTCTAAGTTGGGAACGCATTTTAAATCAGGAATTTATTCTAAATCCTCTAGAAATTGTTAAAGATTATTTATTTAATTACCTGTTCCCATCCCCTCCCCCCACTTTAAACCCCTTCTCTGGTCTTTGCTAAACGGACAACACTCAGACAGCACAGCAGGTTTCAGTTTAACTTCTGTATATTGTACATATTAAGGATATTAGTACTCCCGCCCCTCCCCCCGCTCTCACAAAATTATACATTGCTCAGCCCAGAAATTATCTAAGCTTATTCTTTTAACCCTAAATTTAAAATATATAATTTAAAGTATTATTTACTCTTTACTAAATTCTTTTGATGGAATTGTTCGTTACTAGGAACGGAACGGGGATGGAAACGTTCTTGATTAAGAACAGAACAAGATGGATGCAACTGTTCTTCAACTAAAAGCGCCAAGAACGGAGCAGAACGGGAAAACCGTTCTTCTACTCAGAACGGAACGGAACAGAACGAGAACGGAACGATAAAAAAGAGGAACAAGAACAGAACGATTTAGCTGAAGGCCTTCGTTCTAGAACGGAACGGAATGATTTCAAAAAAGTTGGAACGTGCCCAGCCCTAATTGTCCACCATAGGGCCATAATCAGAGGTCAATATTATCTGATTTGTTAGAAATAAACGGTTTACTGTTAATTTTTTAAATTTTTGATTACCCAATTGAAGAGCGTACGCATGCCGCTAAACACATTTGGGTGGCTTTTGTTTACTTCTGCACCCCCCCCCCCCTAATGTAAGACAAAAAAATGAAAAAAAAACTCTGGAAAGTTTTGTCTGAAGTCCTCATCGATGATCTAAAAAAACTTTTTGAAGTTTAGGTTATATACGTAGACATTTGTTATGACCTATAAAACGTCTCTTATTTCACGCACACCTGTACCTCCAATCCCATCTCTCTCTCTATCTTCTCTCTCTCTTTTTCTCACTTTTTTCCTTGTTCTCCACATAATTGCATTCTCTGTTTCTTCAGTCTCATTAATATTAGAACAAAATACTTTAGTTTAGAAGCAATCAATAAATCAAATATAGGAAATTTAATAAATATAACTCTTATATATAACTTTGCATTTCTCATTTATAAAAGGTTGCCTGTTCGGAAATGAAGTCTGCAGCATTTTATGCTTTAAGCACAATAAACAATGCGTTAGTTGTCTTGAATGTTTAAATAAAAGACCTTTATTGGAATCAATCAATGAATCAATGAATCTGTTAAGTCCATGATAGTCTGACAAATACCAAATATGTTTCTAACATTGATCCTTGTCTCGTCTCTGAGAACAATATGAAAAGATTAAATCTGATGCTTCTTTACCTTCTTACACATCCTTTATAGATATAGATTTACCGAACCAGGGGGGATAAGGGGGGAACTTTTCTCCCCCCCCCTTAACATTTAGGGGGGCTAACATAACAAATTTTAAAGGGAGTGACTGGCAATGTATGGTGGTTGAACTGTGATTAAAGTGATTTTGAAAGTCAACTTTGCTTTCTCAGTACTTTTACATCTTTAAAACGTTTATGTGTCTTAAATCAATCCTAAATAATTTGTCCACAATACTGCATATTCAGTTTAACCACTTTACATTGCCGGTCACTCCCTTTAAGCCCCTTTCCACAGCTTGATAAATCCTTAAATACGCTCCTGGTAGCCTAGAGATCTAGATAGCCCAGAATTCGTCACAATCACATCTATTAGAGCGTGAATAGACCAAGGTCTAGCCAATAATCTAGTAAAGTGTGGTGACCAGTATACAGTAAAATCATTGTCGTCTTTTTTATTATTACTAGCTGGAGTGCCCGGCGCTGCCAAAACGAATTTCAAAAATAATAGCTTTCAAAGAAATTTTTTAAAGATTTTTTTTGGCCTATGTTACCCCTCAGGTATACCCATGGGTTCCCTAAAAATAACAGAATTTGTTTTGTCCGTTTTCTTGTATTCAGGTTTCCTTGTAGGCACAAACTGGCTTATTTCCGTACTTTATCAAAATAATTAATTGATTGCATAACCCAAATATCAAACTTTAAATCGTATTACTTTTTTAAGTCTTCGGTCGTTACAGTCTCTCATCCTTTGTGCGTATTACCCTGAGGATGAAATTTATTCACCGTGATTCAAAGGTTAAATGCTCTTAAGAGTTGTTGACAATTTGGTCATCAGTTTTAAAATGGAACATTTGGAATATGAAGCTGCTGATGAAAGTAGATGATATATTTTTGCTATGTCTGGGACTACACAAAAGTTAATGTGAGTAAGTGAAGTAAAAATCCAAGACGTTATGAGTATGACACTTTAAGTCGATCCGCTTTCAATAATTAAAGCAAATTTTCATATCAGTTTAAATCCATGTGTATTGTGTATTTTATAAAGAAAACTATCTCCTTATAGGGAGTGTTCGCAAAAAATAAAAGGGGGTATAAGCTGATGGCGAAAAATAATTGCTTTTGATCGCTACTAATTTAACTTGCAACTTTCTAAATTTGTATGGACGCTATGTTCTTCAGTATAATTTGTTTTTAACAATTTTCTACTTAAAGATGCAACAGATAGAAGTAAGATTAGAAGCGATCAAAAGCGACTATTTTTTGCGGTAAGCCTATACCCCCTTTCCTTTTTCGTGAACACTCCCTTTAATACAGTGAATCCCAGATATAGGAATATATTTTTTTTAAATGTCGTATTCTCAGTTCACAATTAAGGTCAAATGCCGTGGAAAAGGGAGTTTATATAGCTATTGCTGTCCTGTTTATTTCAGGGCTATTAATTTACCTTGAATTAAAAATAAAAGCAGTTGCTTAAGAATTATCTCAAAAATATGACTGATTAACCTTCCGCCTATGTTTCGCAGGTCTGCAATGATATTTGGATATATTTTCATAAATCGTTTTCAACCCTTGGATCCTGCGAACATCTCAGGAGCTCTTTTTTGTGCAGATAAATGAAGAAGCATTATATCTGTCATTCATTTTTAAATATATTTCAAGACGACATTTCATGCGCTCTTGCTAAGTATTATTTTATGCGAGAGTTAGTGACAACTATTGTTCCTCAGTTTTCCGATTCTACCCTTGCAGTTTACATGTGTACCATTTAACTAAGGATGTTAACGTTTTCATTTCGAAAACGAAACGATAGTTTTTTCAAAAGTTCGTTTTTTAAAAATGGTCGTTTTTAAAACGATCGTCGTTTCGTTAAGGATCGTTAACGACGAGCCTTCATTAAAGATCGCTAACGACGAACCTTCGTTAACGATCATTAACGACTAAGCTTTGTTAACGACGACCCTTTGTTAACGATCGTTAATGAAGAGAGGAAACTAACCTGAAGGGCATCTGTACTTATCATTGAGTAGTTTTTAAGAAAATATCCATAAGTTTTAGCTCCCCCCACCACTTTTAAACTTTATGTAAGAAGACCTTCAATAAAGTTGCATGTATTTTTGTTTGTCTATAAAAATTGTTTTTCAAAAACGATCGTTTTTTCAGAAGCGATCGTTTTTAAAAAAAAACAAGCGTATAAAAAACGATCACAAATCGTTTTTAATAAAACTATCTTTTTCTACAACGATCGTTATTTGTTTTCTAAAAGTTCAAAACGAGTAAGCCTTCTTAAAAAACGATCGTTTTTTCAAAAACGAAACAACCGTTTTTCAAAACGATTGAAAAAAGAAACAATTAGAACAATCGTTCAACAATCGTTTTCAAAAACGATTCCTAGTCAAACTATCCTCCATTTTGAACATTTATGTAATTAGCTAGATGTAACTGCGCCTAGGGTTGTTAACGTTTTCATTTTTTAAAAACGATCGTTTTTTTCATTTTCCTATTGTTTTTGTTTTGTTTTCCGATCGTTTTAAAAACTATCGTTTTTTTTAAAAAGTTTTTAAAACGATTGTTTTTAAAATGATCGGAAAACGAAACAAAAAACAATAGGGAAACGAAAAAAAACGATCGTCTAAAGATCGTTTTCAAAAACGATTAACAACCCTAACTGCGCCGCCATGTTAAGCTCAAATGTGGTTTGCAGATTTTGAGCTCAAAAGTTGCAGATTTACAACAATATTGATCAATATATTTGACTTGCTGGGGAACCCAGATTTTTTTCTATATTTGAGTCGAGCCACTCATATTAGAATTTTTTTTTAAATCTAAGAAGTTTTTCAAGATTCTCCTGATTTCCCCAATCAAAATTTGAGGCAAATCAGTCCAAGAGTTTATGGGTTATGATCGGAAATTGGGCAATAAATTCATGTGCAATGAATGTAAGAGGAATAAAATAAAATTCTTAAGTAGGTGTAATTTGGGTGAAACATGAGTTTGGTGAAACGTAATATTGGGTGAAACGTGAATTGGGTAAACCGTTATTGGGTGAAGCGTTATTTCACATAAAATTGGGTGAAACATTTGGGTGAAACGTGATTGGGCAAACTGTTACCACACCCTTTACACCATTTTACACTAAAATAAAGCAATTAAAGATGATAATGTAAGGTATTTATTCTTTTATCAAACTATTATAATATTTGTTTTTAACCAATTGTATCATAACGATAGCTATCAGTTCTAAACCTTACTCACTCAAAGTGTAAACAGATAAACATTTTTCGGTTTTATTTAGTTAATCTATGAAGGTTGCCATTATGAGAATTTTGAGCGAAATCCTGTAAAATAATTCAATGATATTTACTACATACTTTTAAATTTTATCAATTCTCTTACTTTAATTACATTTTTAATGTTTAACTTTTTAGACCAATGTTATAACCAATTTTTCTGGATAATTTAATCAATTCATTTTAAAGGAGTGGAAGTTTAATTAAAGATTTTTGTCTTTAGTTAGTCACAATTTTGTTGGATTGCTTTTAGATTTTTGTCTAAAATAAATCTTACCTCTTTGTCCTCTGGTTCTCCCTGCAGAATAATGGATGAAGATGATGATCCTGCCAACCTTGAGTTTGATTTAGTAGTTGAACGGGAAGAAATCTGAGTAGAAATAGAGTTTCCTTTTGTCAAAGATTTTCCATTGAACATAATATTGGTCCCAGTAGATGACAGCACTGCTTTTTCCCCAACAGAAGTTAACGTTACTTTCTTTCCAGCTAGTGCTTGGTCCCATTCATCCTTGGTAACAGGGAACCCGTTTATAAAACCAATATCTCCAGATGAAGTTAAAGTGAACACATTTCCATCTACAGTTCTTGTAACTATTTGTCCTTTTGCAAGGTTTGACATCCACGAGGATGAACTAAGATCTAAATTCCCTGAAAATATATATATATGGAAAAGATATAAATAGTATTTTTATCTCTGGTAAATTACCTGAGCTAGAAAATGGTGTAGATGCCCTTGAAGTTGAACTGAATGACACCTGATTTGATATTCTTGATCCATTTGTCATTGATTTTCCATTGAACATGATATTTGACCCAATTGAAGAGAGCCTTGCTTTTTTCCCTTGGAAAGAGAGGTTGACCTTTTTTCCATTCAGAACTTGATTCCACTGATCAACAGTTACAGGGAACCCATTGATGTAAATCATGTTTCCGGAAGATGTTATCACAAATACATTTCCATCAATAGTTCTTGTAACTTTTTGGCCATCTTGAAATATTGACATCCAAGAAGATGAACTGAAATCAATATTTCCTGAAAAAGCTTTTGGTTAATGGCTACTATGACATTATAATTATTCAATTTACCTGAATTGGATAAATCAAAATATTGTTTAGGATTCTTAGTTGCATATCTCCGATCTATGTATTTTTTAATCTTAAGTGAGAATTAGAGATTTTTAAAGCTTTAAAAAAGAAAATACATCATTGTAAAGAAAATTGTTTTACATAAATATTAAAGACCTGTTTTTGATGATAGTAAATTTTGTGAACTGAGCCCTCCACTCAAGTTTTGGGATGATGAATGACTATTACCTGATATAAAAAGTATATATATTAATACATGAAAATGTAAGAGAGAACAAACAGACAAAAATAAAAAAAGACAATCAAAGAACAAAAACAAACAAAAAATCCATGTATTAAATTTGCAGAGTAAGAATACCTCTCCTTCCTGCAGAGTTGAAGGATATTTGAGTTGAAATACTTCCCCCCTCTGTCAAAGATTGTCCATTAAACATAATATTTGATCCTGATGCAGATAGCTCTGCAGTTTTGCCATCAAGCATTAATGTGACAGTAGACCCTCTCAGAACCTGATGCCATTGATCAACAGTAACAGGAAATCCATTGATGTAAACATTATTTCCAGAAGATGTTATTGTAAATACATTTCCATCAACAGTTCTAGTTATGGTCTGTCCTTCTGCTAATGAGGACATCCAAGATGATGAGCTGAAATCTATAACTGTAAAAGCATTGCCTGTCAATTGGTCAAAATAGCAAAAGGTTGAATAAAAATAATAATTATAGCAGAGATTTGCACTATATAATAAAAAGTTTTTTTACACAGTTTTTTTCACAAAATGATTTTCATGTAAAACCCTGAATTCTGTGCCAAGGTTTGCTGCAAACACAAGCAAATTAAAAACTACAAAATAAGAAAGGTACATAATTTTAAATTCTTTCAGCATGTAAATTGCTCAAGAATCAAAAGATTTATAGAAAAAAAAAGCAGAAACAAGAATCAAATTTTACCCCTAAAAGTAACTCACCAGGTCCAGAGGATGATGACCATGATCTTGACTTTAACCCTGCACTTGATGAAGATCCTGTATTTCTAGATGAACTTGAACTTGATCCTGACCTTCTTGAAGAACTTGAACTTGATCCTGAACTTCTTGATGAACTTGAACTTGATCCTGAACCTGAAGAACTTGAACTTGATCCGTAAGAAACATGGTTGGAAACACTTGAACCATCTGTGATTGATTTTCCATTGAACAACATATTTGATTCTGTGAAAACTAAGGTTGCCTGTTTGCCTTTATATAATATTATTACAGTTTCCCCAGCAAGAGCTTGATTCCATTGTTCAACAGTCACAGGGAACCCGTTGATATAAATCATATTTCTGTAAGATGTTATCTCAAATATGTTTCCATCAACAGTTCTTGTTATAGTTTGTCCATCCACTAAAGATGACATCCAAGATGATGAGCTAAAATCCAGACCCCCTTAATTAGTGAGGAATACTTTAAAGTTTTGAAAAACATCAATCTGAAATGATTTACCTGTATATGATGACGAGCCCCCTGATGAAACCTGAGAGGATGTTGTTCTTCCATCTATAAAAGAATTTTTTTTTCAAGAATTTAAAACTTAAAAGTGAAGAATGCTTTATAACATTCTCTGTTTAGAAAAGGTTCAAAACTTAAAAAGTCAACCTAAATAATTGAAAAATTTGAATTAAAAAGTTAAGTTAAAGTTAACTTCTGGTAGTAAGCCAAGTTTAAGTTTTTTTTGCTAGGTACTGTTTAATAAATTACTATATATATAATTAAAATTTGAATTAGCTCAAATTTAAGACACAGTACACATTTTAAGTTTGATAAGTAAATAAGTGAACTGTCCTAGATTTAGACCTAGAAATCTTTCTTTCTGTAAAATGTTCTTATTTCACAAAATAAAAATGCAAGAAAAATTTAATTCCGTTTTATAAAATTTTAATCATATCAAGCATTTTTATAGAAATTGAATAGCACCCACATATAACATTAAAAACAGAAAACAAATTCCTGATTTTAAAATACTGACCTTTCAAGGAGGATTTAGTTTACTTAGTTCTGTGTCCAAATTTAATGAATTTGAGCTGCGTCTTAAATCCGCTAAAAACCGGTTTCAATTGAGCACGGGGATAAATTTTGAACATTGAACACAATTTTAAGTGGAACCAACCATATTTGAGCTGCGGCTTGAATTTAAGCTGCAGCTCAAATTCTTTAAATTCGGCCTCAGAATGAAGAACCTGAAATCTGCCTGCCTCCATCTATTGTAAATTTGTTCAGAACTATTGACAAATGTTTGATTCTTGATAACCATTACCTGTTCTAAAAATATTTGTATTTAAGCTTGATGTTGAACCAAATGAGCTATGAGATGACATGGTTGATCCATTAGTCATAGACTTTCCATTGAACATCACATTTGATCCTATGGAAGATAAAGTTGCTTGTTTTCCTTGGAAGGAAAGTTTAACTTCAAGTCCATTAAGTGCTTGATTCCATTGATCAGCAGTAACAGGAAATCCATTAATATAAACAACATTTCCAGAGAACAATATTGTAAATACATTTCCGTCAACAATTCTTGTGACTGTTTGTCCATCTACCATTGATGACATCCAAGATGACGAGCTAAAATCCATGTTACCTTCAACAGTTATGCATGCAAATATAAAGTTACTATTTAAGTGCAATATGAGAGAAAATATTGTCCAGAAAAAGAATTACCATTATTTAAGAATCCTGAGTTTTGACCAAAGTTTTCTCCAATTACTTGAGAGGACAATGATTCACCCCCTAACAAATAATTGTGTGGAAAATAATAGATAAGAAGGCATATTTATGTTTTCTTACAATGTTATACATACCTGTTCCAGTAAGCATAGAATTTGAACTTGATGATAAACCATAGGAAATCTGATTTGACATACGTCTTCCAGTTGTCAGAGATTTTCCGTTAAACATTATATTTGACCCAATTGAAGATAAAATAGCTTCTTTTCCATGGAAAGATAGTCTTACTTCCTTCCCATTCAGGACTTGATTCCATTGGTCTGTTGTGACTGGAAACCCATTGATGTAAATCACATTGGCAGAAGATACTATTTCAAAAGTATTTCCGTCAACAGTTCTTGTAATTCTCTGACCATCTACCATTGATGACAGCCAAGATGATGAGCTGAAATCTAGATCACCTATAAACATAAAATTAGATAACTAATGAATATGTATGGCATGTTAGCTTGACATTGAACAATTGTATTGCATAAAAGTTTTAGTTTATATATGGTTTCAAAGAATTACCAGCTTTGAAAAAATTTGAACTTGAACTTGCACTTTTTCCATAAGAAACCTGAGTTGAGATGCTTGAACCAGTTGTTAAGGATTTTCCATTAAACATTACATTTGATCCAATAGCTTTCAATATTGCTTCTGTTCCTTGGAATGATAATATAACTTCTTTTCCACTTAAGGCTTGATTCCATTGATCAGCAGTAACAGGAAACCCATTTATGTATACAACATTTCCAGAAGATGTTATTGTAAATATATTTCCATCAACAGTTCTTGTAATTTGTTGTCCATCAAACATAGATGACAACCAAAGTGATGAGCCAAAATCTATGTTCACTAAGAAAATATTTGTAAATATAGCTAATCCTATGTCTACATGACAGGTTTTAAAAGATGAATACATCTGTGTATTACACTTATAAAATGCTTCAAAGATACAACACTATCTCATAAAACCCTAGCAAAGAAAAAAGCGCTATTCTTATCATTTTTATATCTTCATGTTTATAAATTCATAATAGAATATGCAAACATTTATTCAAATTTGTCTCAAATTAACCAATTACATATATAAATTAAACATAACAAAATATCTTATTATACACATTTATTCATAAAAATCTTTTAAATTGTCAATATGGTGCAAATTTATATCTGATTAAATCATTGTCAAACTATAAAATCTATAATTCAGACAAGAAAACTATATAACTTCTTGTGTGTAGTATATTTTTACAAATTGGCAAATATATTGATACATTTATATCACATACAATGCAGACAAAGTATATTTACATACAGAGCAAAATTCTTACATTAAAGTTGTTAGTTCACATCAACTTCTCAACATTGCACATTTTACCTGAATGTTTCTTCTGCATATTTATCTTTAGTAACGTCCCTTTCTTTCAACAAAGATACACACACATTACATATTTTTGTAGAAATGTAATCAGAAAGATGAGTAATATCAATATCTCAATTTCACTGGCATCAATGCATATTCGAAAATAATATTCAACTCATGTGTGAGTTTAATGTTTTGAGTTTAACTTATTACTGCCCACTGCAGAATTATAACCTTCTGCTTGATTATTTGTTTCAACTGTGATGTCAAACTTATTCCTCATTTTTGAATCAAGCTTTAGGATAATAGTTTTCAATGTAAACTAAATTTTTATGCCTCTTAAGGAATATCAGCAATTTTTTTACGATATGGGCAAACAAAATTGCCAAACTTTGGTTTATTACTGTTTTTATAGTAGAAGTCCATCTTCTTTAACACCTGCAAAAGTAACAAATACTGTTGGCATGATTTAAAGAAAGCATCCTTGAGATGGTAAATCTGGAAAATTATTCAGCAAATATTTAAGATGTTACATTTAACAGAACAGTTTTAAACCTTCAATGTTTTTCTTTAAAAACTCATGCTCCAGTAAAAGCAAAAAAAATGACAATATTGGATATTTGACCTATTTGAGTATTGAAATGGTGTTGAAGATTAGTATCATCACATTCCATGCACTGGTTGGTCTTAAACCCAAAAGCAGTGTCGATGTACACTATATATATATAGTCACAGAGTATGGTATTATAATTGACCATTTCCAACCTCCCCCCTCCCCCCAGCTCCATAACCCCTTCCCTTTAACAGTCAAGTTAGGAAAATTTAAGTAATATTAAAAAAAAATTCAATTTAATATCCAATCTAAAGTTCAAACCTAATACTATGATATTTTGATAGAATAGCATTTTTTCTTTGCTTGCATATTATCTGGTAGCATTTTAAAAGTGTAGTGTTTTATGTGGTAGCGTTTTATCTATGTAGAATTTTATGAGTATAGTGTTTTTCTAGTATCACCAATACATCAACAATATCAAAATAAACAGTTTTTGTTTCAAAATAATTTGATGATAATTTAAAATGACCTCTTGGTATTTGGAATTTTTCCCAAGAGTTTCCTTGACTTAAGTTCTCTGTTGAAATTGTGTCTACAAAAACAGAATGATTCAAATTTTCTCATTCTGTATAATTGGCAATTTACCTGTTTTCATGTTTGAGCTTGAGCTATGGCCAAATGATACATGATTAGCCATTGATGAGCCAGTTGTCATGGAATTTCCATTGAACATAATATTTGATCCAATTGAAGATAAAGTTGCTTCTTTTCCCTGGAATGAAAGTTTAACTGCCTTTCCACTGAGCACTTGATTCCATTGATCAACAGTAACAGGGAATCCATTGATATAAATCATATTTCCAGAAGATGTTATTGTAAATACATTTCCATCAACATTTCTTGTAACTGTTTGTCCTTCCACTAAAGAAGACATCCAATCAGGAGTAGAAAAATCAATATTTCCTAAAAACGTCATTTTAAAGTATTGTATTGTTATCAACAAAATAAAAGATATAGGTTACTTGTGGCTTGAATGTTGTCACTTTTTTAATGGAAAATAAGGTTACTAATTAGCGGGCATTGACTATTTTCTCTGCTTTGTACCAAATATATTTTTGTGCAACTGCCCAATTTTGTCTAAACATGAACAAAAATAGAAAAGAATAAAATATGATATCGAATATAATATGTCAATTAGAACAACTTAAAATTAAGACAATTCTTTGAGATTGGTGTACTTTGTCCAAAACTACTACCAGTGATATAAACCTTTCACAATTTTTTTCTGTTAAAAATTTTCTTCATAAATTAATTTTAGTTATTGAACAGAAATTTATATTAACTATAAGAAAATGTAGATTACCAATTCCAGTAGATGAGCTCGGAATTGTTCCAAAGGAAATCTTGGTTGAAATAGATGAACCATTTGTGATTGATATCCCGTTAAGCATTATGTTTGATCCAATTGAGGATAAGATTGCTTTCTTCCCCTGAAAGGAGAGTTCAACTTTTTTTCCTTCCAGAACTTGATGCCATTGATCAACAGTAACAGGAAACCCATTGATATAAACAACATTTCCAGAAGATGTTATTGTAAATACATTTCCATCAACAGTTCTTGTAACTGTTTGTCCTTCTGCTACTGAAGACAGCCATGCAGATGTGGAAAAGTCAATAAATCCTGCATAGAAATTATAAAAAACAAGTATAATTACAAAATTAATTTAACAATGGATGTGATCTTTTTTAAATTTGCTGTTACGGTGACAGTGGTTAATTTTGTATTTTGTATTAATATCAAATGAAAATTTCTTTGTATTTGAATTAAGGTTATATTTGGCTACAAAATTAATGACTGCCACTGATAAAGTCAAATTGCTCAAGTCTACGTTTTTCAAAAAAATTGAATCTAACGTTTGCCTCAAAATCATATTTTCTTATCCCTATAACTATGCAACATTATAGATTAAAACTTGGATATTTCAAAAATTGGCACTTTGTCTGCCAGATTGCACATTTAAAAAGGTCACAACATAAGAGTTAGATTTATAAAGTAAATCCTGAACTGCCCTAGGTGAACACTTTTGAGGGTGATAGATTCTAATTGTTTGTACAGAAAAAATGATAAGAATAATGAGAGACTGAAGAGGTATGTGTAAAACAGACTGAAAAGATCCAGGTTTACACAGTAAAGTAAGATTTGTCCACTTCAGAAGTTCAAAAGTTTCAGTCTGGATTTGTACCACATACTCAAAAAAGGAATTTTACCTTTTAAATAAAAACAATATATATTTTATTTTCAATAATATTGTATGAACCTCAGTATTAGTCATTTATTGTATTATTGCTGAAATTTAAAATATATACCTGGAAAAGCATTATACCCAAAGCTGTTATATGATGAGGATGAAGCTTGTCCACCTGAACTCAAGCCATTATTATTTTATACTACCTGAACTCAAACCATTATTATTTTATACTATTTGGCTTATAGGGCCCTTTTCTTGTAACAATTATGGCTGTAAACCATTTTTCTTAGAAGATCATATTTCAAAAATTTTCAATTACATTTTCGCATTTTCAAAAATTATTAAGATTTTTTTAAGGGCAAATTTGGTCATCTCTAAAAAACAATAAACCTTCCCTGGGGTCATGTGAGTTGCCACAAAAAAATTGGGTTTCATCCGTTCAGCCTTTGGACATTTTGGATACAAAAAAAAACAAGCAAAAAGCAAAGTATAAAGAGAGATAGATTAACCTGCTTCAGAAAATGACCCAGTTGATCCAGATGAAATTTGATTTGTAATGTTGGTTCCATTGGTAATGGATAATCCATTGAATAGTATATTTGACCCAACTGAAGTTAGGATTGCTTCTTGGCCATTGAAGGAAAGTTTTACTTCAGCCCCATTGAGAACTTGATGCCATTGATCTATGGTTACTGGGAATCCATTGATGTAAACAATATTTCCAGAAGATGTTATTGTAAATACATTTCCATCAACAGTTCTAGTAACTGTTTGTCCTTCTGCTAATGACTCCATCCAAGATGTTGAAGAAAGATTCAAAACATCTAACATAACGTATGTTAAGCAAGAGCTGCAAGTATTTTTGTTCTAAAACAATACCTATATTTGAAAACTCATTGCTGAGGTTAGTGTCACCCTTAGTTGATGTCTGGGTTGACATGGTTTCACTTTCTGAAACAAATCAATTGTGTTAGATCAAACTACCTTTCATGAAAGCTTGAGTTTTACAAGCAATCCATTTATATTCTGTATTTGTAGTTTTTAAATCTCTCCTAATTAAAATTCTCAGGAACTTTTGAACAAAAAGTCTCTTTTTATTGACCATTTTTGATTCCAGTTTTTTGTCAGACAAAAAGTCCTTTTTTTTGGGTTTTTTCTTACTTTTTCCTATTATTCATCAATTCTTACAGATGTAAAGTCAGTCCAATTATGTTTGCAAATAGATTCTTTTTTCCCAATTGAAAATTTGCCAGTGTAACTAGCTTATCTGTTTTAAAAAATGTGATAAACAAAGTTATCAGAGCTGAAAACTTTAGAATGAGATATCCTTAATCTTGATAACTTAATATGAGTATCCAATGGACACACTTTTGATTTTCTTCTTAAACCGTTCTTTCTTGGATATAGTAGAGAAAAAATCAAAAACCGGTTTTTTAGAAATAGAGAGTTCCTCCTGTTTCTGTATATAATCTTAAATGGCACGCTAAATCTTAAATTTATTGGCTTCATATTCAAGACTCGGATTGGTTGAATTTTATACACTTTTCAGTACAAGATTAAGTTAGTCTCGATAATAGGGAAAAGAGAGGATTAAGCATCAATCTCGGTATCCACCATTCTAAAGATTTCTGCTCAGGCTTGTTTAAAATGGAACTGATCAACTCTTGTTCTTTGGCAGTCTTTGGAAATAAGGCATTTGATCTATTCCCATTTTTTACTATATAGAATATGTACATTTCCAATTGTTGCACCCATGCCTTATGAAGCATATTTGATTGTATATGCCTGGATCCTGAGTATAGCTTCAGTAAGGCCTAAACCAACTATGGACGCTGATGTAGACATACTCTGATTTTCATTAATAAATGAGACTCTGTAAATATTTGCATGACATCATTATAAAAATTGTTCTTATCAATGTTATATTCTTGCTATAATACTTAAATCTATTTTAAACCACACTCTGTTTTCCCCCTTTCATCTGTTGTTAAACTGTAAAATAATCTATCGACACCATCTAAATAAATAATCAGAGAAGAAACAGTTTATAAAAATAGAGAGAGTAGTTTGAAACCAGTCATCATAATAATCCTGAGTTGTTAAGATGATCATACTATAATACCATTATATAGTAGTTAACACACAGAGCAGTTTTACCTGGTCCAGAAATAATTGAATTTGACGATGTACTTGATGTTACTCCTGAAGATACTTGGTTGGAAATCTGAGATCCATTAGTCATTGATAACCCATTAAACAAAATATTGGATCCAATTGATGTTAAAATGGCCTCTTTTCCATTGAATGAAAGTTTAACCTTTTCACCATTTAGAACTCTGTGCCATTGATCAACAGTTACAGGGAATCCATTGATATAAACAACATTTCCAGAAGATGTTATTGTGAAAATATTTCCATCAACAGTTCTTTTAACTGTTTGTCTGTCTGCTATTGACGCCATCCATGATGATGAGCTAAAATCCATATTGGCTGAAAATACACTGTTTTCAACATACAAAGCCAAATATTATTAAACATACAGAACATGATAAAATTTCACAGTTGCTTTACCTTGACCCCCAATTGCCACACTTGAGCCTGCATCAAAAGAAATCCGAGTTGAAATCTTTTCTCCATCTGTCAGAGATTTGCCATTAAACATCACATTCTTCCCAGCAACATTTAAGGATGCTTGACTTCCATTAGATGTCAATGTAACCTGTTTCCCATTCAAGGCCTGGTCCCAATCAGCCACAGTAACTGGAAACCCATTAATAAATACTTTGTTACCAGAAGCAGATAAAATGTTAAAAATATTTCCATCAACTATTCGAGTTACTCTTTCTCCTTCTACTAACTTTGTCATCCACGCTGATGTTGAAAAATCCATATACTGGCCTAATACAAAAATCTTTCTTATTTGTTAAATGAAATAAAAGATATTTGAAGAATGAACCACATACCTGTCATTGCATATTCTGTGCTAGGAACAGAATTTAAAGAAATTTCAGTGCAAATTTTTTTCCCATCTGTAATTGATTTTCCATCCAGCAAAACATTTTCCCCTGTGGAGGTCAAAATCCCTTCTTTACCATTAGATGATAATTTCACTGCTTTACCATTCAAAGCATCTTCCCATAGTTGGACATTCACAGGAAAGCTGTTTATGTAAACAACATTTTTGTCAGCTGTTATGATAAACACATTTTCATCTACTAGCCGGGTAATTGTCTGATCAGGGTTCATATTTGTGATCCAAGATGTGGATGTAAAATCCATGTCATCTTTAAAAAAAACATTACAAAACTAAATTAATCAGGATTTACCATTAAAGTTTCAACTGAAGTACCTGAAGAGAGTGATTCATCTGGAACTGATGAGGTGTCACCTGCTTAAAATTAAATTTGCAAAATAAGAAAAGTTTGAAGAAAACAAAAAATATTATCAATATTTAAAAAGGTTAAATTGTATAAAAGGTTTTTCAAGAAAAATATGAAAACTCATTAAAAAAATTTGTTTTTAGAAAAGAATCATTAGCCCATCTTGGTTAGGATGTGGTGGGGTAATTCCATATGTTTTTCCTCTATGAGATAATAACTTGCTCAACTTTATTCACATTTCCAACTTTATAATTGAATTTAAGATGATAAGAATGTTGGGCAATATCTGTTAACTAAATATATTAGGCAAAAACAGTCAGGATAGGGTTAAAGTCACAAGAAAACATAAAGGATTTTCAGGTGACTCCTCATTTCTTATTCACAATTCTACCATGGAAACTTTTGCCTGATCAATAGAGGATATCCTGCTATTTTCTAGCTTGAAAAGTGTGAAAATTAAGGAGATTAACTGAAAATTGCGTCTAGAGTCTCTTTCAGTTGAAATATGTAAGAACAAATACACAACCATTTTAGATTATTTTTAGAACTGTAACCTGATTTAGCTGAAATAGAATGCAAAATAGTGAGAAACACTAATACAGCTCCATTGGTCATTTTCCCAGTTACTTTGTAATGCATCTAAGATTCAAGATTTTTTTACTATTTTAACATATATTAGATATGCATTTTTTTCTACTTCAGACCTTATCTAAAAACTAGGGTTTCTAGTCATAATTATGTTACACGTTTTTACACATAATTAGGTGTAACACTTTCTTTCAATTACAGAAGATCATTACGCATTTTTTTTTTGCATAATTAAGGTGTAATTACCCAAAATTATGTAATATGAACCCTTCCATAATAAGTAAAGTAAATATTTATTCTCACAAATGAATATGGCGGAAAATATGCATATAGATAAACGCACTACAACCTTGTCCAATCTGATTGGATAATTTAGATATTTTCAAATTGAATCAAAATTCAGTGATAGTGATGGACCAAACTCTGCAGAGAAAAAAGTAGATGTTAGTTCCACATTTTATTAAAAATATATTTCGGTCTAGGTTGACCCTCATCAGTTCTAACAATATAATAACCATCAAAATTGATGTAAAAAACTAGTAGAAAATAAACAAACAAAAAGATTATTTAAAATTTTTTTCTAAATTGATTGTCAAATGGACACAAGGGATACAAACTCAGATCATGAGATGGGAAATAGATAATTTGCAAATTTTCCCTTTTTAAAGAATGTTTTTTTTCTCTAGTACATTAACTTTTAGATGGTAGAGTTCATGTCCAGGAAGGATAAAATGTTCTACTGTAAGCTGGTTTGTATGGAGGTTTTGCTAATTAGGCGTAATTATTACAAAATTTTGCAAAATTACATTGTAGAAATTACTCAAAATAATGCTGTAAATTTGCAAAATTGAAGTTTTGCCAACTACACATAATCCTGCCAAATTACACGAAATGAAAATTATTTCGCGTAGCTGCATGTAATTCTGCCTAAGTGAATAATCTATTGCTTTGGAAACCCTACTAAAAACGTAACCAAAAAGTTTGCTCAGTTGGTTTTTTCCTTGCTTTACTTTCCATTAGAGATGGCCATTGTGTTTGTGAAGGAATCGTCTTTCATAAAAATTGAATAAAATTAAATTAAATCATAAATTGATAAAGTTGAAAAAAAATATAAATTACTAAAAAATAGCAAATTTGAGTGTTCTAAATATTCAAAAATTATTAATTAACAGTTTCTTAAAAACACAAGAATTTTCACTTTTTTTTAATGACATATTGATACACAGTTACACTTAAAACAATTACATACTATTTTGAATCACCTTGGCCAATGCTATTGCCAATACTAAATTTCCTCTAAACAACTATAAGTGTTATTTCAAAACAATTCCTTTAATAAACAGTTTGACTTTGTAAACATCTTTGAATTAACTGTACAAATTTAAAGCTTATTTTTTTTCTTGGACATTTTTATTTGTAAAAACATTAACTAATAATAGTTTATGGATTAATAGTTGAGTAGCTCCAGAAAAAAAATTACAACAAAAATACAACATTTGAATTTAATAAACTAAATAAGGTATTAGAAACTTTTAGTTTAGAAAATCCAGAAGAAAGTAATAATAAAAACTGTGGCAGTTTCAAGGCAAAACAGTAAGACTAACCCAGAAGGAATGTTTGTGTTTAAGGAATTAATTCCTTGCCAGTTTGTGTTAAAGGAATTAACTCCTTGCCAGTTTGTGTTAAAGATTCCGTTCTGCATTTATTAGAAAAAAAGTTAAATTCTCATTATCAATAAAAATTCAATTTTGAGGTTAGTAATTGAATCCATATTTATCATTTCAGTAACGTAGTTCATAGTTATGTCAAAATAATTCCGTCAGTTTAAGAAATAAAGTACTGTCCAAATCTAGAAAATCTTGCAATATTGAGACTTCCCAGACTTCCTGAATAAGGACAGTCATTTGCAATTAGAAAGAAATTTTAGTAAATAGTAGAGTTCATATCTAACAATTACTTAATGGTTTACCGTTTGCTAAGACAACTCCTGTTTTGTCAAAATGTAATATTTTATCATCATTTTATCTAAAAATTAACTTAAACAAACAAAAGTTTAAATTTCTAACCTCTGAAAGTAAAAACAGTAAAGCAAAAATGGCTTTTAAAAGGTAATCCTGAATCACATTTCAATATGACAACAATTTTTTCTGAATTATTTAACGATATTAACAATTGACTGAAACATATGACAAGAGAAACTAGAGAATGAAGAAAGGTCTAGAAAATACTAATTAATGAAAATATTTATCAACATTTAAAATGTAATTTTAAACCATATTGGACGAGTCATACAAGGGTTCTGTGTTAGATAAGTAATCAAATATTGTGAGGGTTTATTTTGTCTTCTGTGTTTTGTTGGGTTTGATAAATGGCTGCATAGTTTAATATAATTCGGCAAAAGTAAACAAGCTTTTTTAAATACTTCTATCCTGCTAATTCTCTTCTTGATTTACATAATACTAGTTGAAATTTCTGAACTGTACACTTAAATTCAGGCAGGTAGTTAATTTTCAGCTGCCTTCAAACTTAAGCTGATAAGGCAGGGAGGTAGATAATTGTCAGCTACCTGTAAACTTAAGGTAAAAAGTGAGCAGGTAGATAATTATCAGCTATCTGTACACTTCAGCTGATAAGGCAGGCAGGTAGTTCCTATCAGTTGCCTGTGCACTTCAGCTTATAAGGCAGGGAGGTAGATAATTATCAGCTACCTGTACACAATTACAATGTAGATCCCGAGAGAGATTGCAACTTTTATAAGATTTTCGGATTTTCAAAGTTAAGAAATAATCTAAGAAGTTTTATTTTTAATTTTACAGCACAGACTTTATATCATAATGCAATGATCGCTCACTTCGTCCAGAATCATGAACCAACCTGTCAACGGTGCGAGTTTGGAAACCTTAGGCCTGCGCCGAGAGAAACGATCTCTCATGTCTTCTGGGACTGTCCCAAAATAAGCGAGATACTTCTTGATCTCAACACCATAATATCGAATGGAACATTATCACACGAAGAACTTAAAAGTGTAATATTTCTAGGTTGTACTAATCCTTTAATCTTTAATATCAAAAATACTAACACAATCTGTTTCATAGTCATGTATTACATATTTTCTACGAGAAATTCTGGACGACTGTACAATAAGTCTAAGTTAAAGCAATTTATTTTTCATCACACTGAAAAACTTAAAAACCCCTTGTTTGCAGAAAACGAACATGAATATTAATCCTTACTCTCTTGCAATGGATAGTCCCCTATCAACCAACACCGCACTGCGGTGTATAATAATTGCATCATCCGCAACTCTAGCCATGCCAAACCATACCTACCTTTTACAACCCATGCTGAGTCAGCCATTTTGCTCTGAATCAAAACAGAGAATTTCAATCATTTTACATTGCAAATTAAGTGAAACTCATATTAGAGTAATAAATTCAATAATATCAATATTAATATTCGTACGGAATCCTTCCCTCGAGGATGATTCTGACGAAACGCATAACTTAAAGCTAAGTAACAGCCCTTGCCATGATTCAAGGACTACAAACTTTGATATTTTTCACTTTAATGGTCACTTCTACGAGAAAGTTGGCCTCTCCGTGTATCCGGATAATCTGGAACGAATCGCGGCGTCCTACCGAGGGCGAAATAATATTAGATTCTGGAGATATACTCTAAGAAGTAATACCAGAAACATGCGTAACACGCAAGTAATACACGACGCAAACCATTTTAAATGGCTTGTGAAAGGTCCTGATACAATCAGTCACATTAAAATTGTGAAATTTAGTTTCTCAACAAATATATTTTTCAGAGAAATGTCCGAGAATAATGTTCCTATGGAGGTGGAGGAGGCTGGAATTGACGATTACATGCGGGACTTCCAGGGGATGCTGGATAGGATGGACAACCCCAGTGAGGTACAGGGTAAGGGTGTTGGGGACTGTGCAGGGGGGGATCTAGTTGTGAGGGAGTCCGGTGTCATGGGCAGGGAGGGGGGGGCTGAAGGCGGCGAAGCTGAGCCACTACCCGTGTCCAAGGATTTGATCCTTTCCTGTCCTGTGCAACGGTCTGATGATTTTGGTTCTGAAGGGGCTAATGCAATTTCGCCAAGGGATGAAAGGGGTTACGTTACTGAGGAAGTTGTCAAAAATCTAAGCGTCGCCGAGGATTTTGTCCCCCGTTATGTCCCGGGACCTTATCTAAGGATAAGTGAGTACCTCAATAAGAATATTGTCAACACGGTAAAGAGAGCCTGGCAAGTACCCCCGCGCGTCGCGAAACCCCCCACCCCCTTAGCTGCACCTCGGTCCGGTCTTGTGCAAACTCAGGGCGGTGGGAATGCGGTTGTAAAACTTGCTCCGAAGGTCAATCTCTCCGCTCCTAACTTTTTCGGGGACCGGAGATCAGGGTATGCCATAAACCTGGCGAACTTTTCATGCAACACAAGTTATACGTGTACCTTCGATATTGCGAGGAACTGTAGGATTTGCCCCAACGAGCATGAAGCCTTCCCGTCGAACTTGGTGGGGACGCTCATTGTGGGCGACTCCTATACTCCTTGCATTATAGGCGGCGGAGGTAAATGTGTGCCTGTCTTTAGACAGCACAACGCGGGTTTTCGCGAAATAACTTCAAGCTTGAAGTTTTTGCTTAGATATAGGAAGTCAACAAGTACTGGCATGCCCTGCTCCCGTNTCAGGTTTCGTCTTTTCCTACACACCTCATCCACCTTCCACCTCCCTTTCCTATTTCCCATAACTCATCCTGTTCCTATCCCAGATTCCAACTTTAATCCTACTCCCATCCTATACATTTAAACTTTTAATCCTTAAAAATAAAAACTCCTTTTTATTCCTATAAAATATTTCCTATTTTTGCTGACTTATGGTACTTCATGTCAGTTTTGCTTAATTCTTTGACTCCTAGTCAGTATTTATATATTTAAACTTTTAATCCTTAAAATAACAACACCTTTTTAATCCTTTATTTCCTATTTTTGCTGACTTATTTACTATCTGTCAGTTTTTGCTTACTTCTTTAACTCCTAAACAGTATTTATACATCTGAACTTTTAAGCCTTAAAATAAAAACACCTTTTTAATCCTATATTTCCTGTTTTTGCTGACTTATTCACTATCTGTCAGTTTTGCTTACTTTTTAAAAAAAAACTCCAAACATTCTTCCTGTCAAATATAATCCTACTTGCCTAGAATTTCAACTTTCTCAAACACGAGTAGTGAACCCTGGCAAAATAGCTTGACGAAATCGGTAGGAACAAATTTTATAAAACGGGAAGAGAATATAAAAAAAGATTTTCTCTGTTCCTTCATATGCTATATAGTGTAATGAGATCTAAAGATTTCTTCAAAAAAAATAACACAAAATTTTTAATCCTATAAGGGTCCAACTGCACTATTTTGATGCCTCTATTCACCCAGTTGTAAAATACCCCTGATAGTATAATCGGGCGTTTATAGTTTTTACAAAGGAGGAAATAATTTTTTCTTATGTAAATTGTACAAATTCAATTATGAGAATAAATGATTGATCTTGATATCTAATGTGGGCACAGTTTAAATATGAGAATATATGATCAATCTCGATATCTAATGCGGGTACAGTATAAATATGTGAATATATGATTGATCTCGATATCTAATGTGGGCACAGTATAATTATGAGAATTTTGATGCATTTAATTTTATTGCATCTATTCATTAAGTTGTAAAATACTCCTGACAGTATAATCGGGCGGTTATCGTTTTTTTTTCCGAAGGAGGAAATAATTTTTCAATGTAAACTGTACAAAAAATAAGAACCGCCCTTTCACCACCGGAAATAATTCTACAATTTCCATCCTTTAGATTTCTTTTTTAAAACCTATACAGGTATTTTTAAAAACCGCAATTTTTTGTAATACAGTTAGACGAGAAACCATAAGGACCTGAATGCTGGAGAATTTTTGGGACAAGAATCGCGTGATCGCCGACAACAGGTTCTACATCACTGCGGATCTCAGATCTGCAAGTTACTACACAGATAGTTACGGTAAAAAAAGATTAATCGGACGTTTATAGTTTTTACGAAGGAGGAAATAATTCTTTAATGTTAACTGTAAAAATTTAATTATGAGAATATAAAATTGATCTCGATATCCAATGTGGGCACAACTTAGTTATGAGAATAAATGATTGATCTCGATATCTAATGTGGGTACAGTTTAAATATGATAATATATGATTGATCTCGATATCCAATGTTGGTAAAGTTTAAATACGAGAATATATGATTGATCTCGATATCTAATGCGGGTACAGTTTAAATATGAGAATATATGATTGATCTAGATATCTAATGTGGGTACAGTTTAAATCTGAGAATTTTGATGTCTCTATTCATTCAGTTGTAAATTACTCCTGACAGTATAATCCGGCGTTTATAGTTTTTACGAAGGAGGAAATAAGTTTTTAATGTAAACTGTACAAAAGAACCGTTCTTTCACCATTGAAAATAATTCTACAATTTCCATCATCCAGATTTCTTTTTGTTTTTTTTAAACCTATACAGGTATAATTAAAACCGCAATTTTTTGTAATATAGTTAGACGAGAAACCACCAGGACCTGAACGCCAGAGGACCTGGGAGACCCCAGAGGATCTGGGAGACCTCACAGCTGTAATCCTCGGCGAAGAATAACGTTAAACTGGAATCTGGAAGCTAGCTGACCGCCAGAAGTATCTTGGATCATGCGGATCTCATACCTGCACTAATCAGCGGAATAAATAACGTTTGATCGGAACTGCCTCCGGAAAGAGCAGAGGAAGAGCGAATATGCCACAACACTACCTACCTGCCTCAATACTAAAGAGCGATCATAATTGCTCTTTGGCTTAAAAGATACTAAAGATGAACCGTCAATTTTCGTATTTCTTAACCGTTACGTCTGGTCATCTTGCTAATTAAGCCTCAATATGATTAAATATGAACCATATTTCCATTGCTAGATTCGGCCAACGCGCCTATGAAGCCTCAATAATATCTAAGATGCACCATCGATAGCTTATCTTATTTTTATTAATGTAAAAAAGGGAAACTCGCTCCCGTGTATGTTTATGTAAAAGCATGCACACTGTTAATTGTAGCATTTTCCAATAAGAGATAACACGCACTGTGTTTGTAGTATCTACAGTAATATTCCAGAAAAGTATGCTATCTTTCAATAAATAATTTAGTTTTTTTCTCACGAACTGCTTCATTATCAATATTTGAATATAAACTTACCAACAACCCAGAAATGGAAAAAACAGAAAAAAGTATCTGTTAAAATTGATTCCGACTTTATTGATTTATAATTGTATGTACATGATAACTCGTTAAGAAACTCTTGTGATAAACCCATATTTTTAACAATCTTGTAAACTATAATAACCATGATACGTAAATAAATATCTAGATTTTAAAAAGCTACCTGTAAACTTAAGGTAAAAAGTGAAACTCGTTAAGAAACTCTTGTGATAAACTCATATTTTTAACAATCTTGTAAACTATAATAACCATGATACGTAAATAAATATCTAGATTTTAAAAAGCTACCTGTAAACTTAAGGTAAAAAGTGAGCAGGTAGATAATTATCAGCTATCTGTACACTTCAGCTGATAAGGCAGGCAGGTAGTTCATTATCAGCTGCCTGTGCACTTCTGCTCATAAGGCAGTGAGGTAGATATTTATCAGCTATCTGCTTGCTTAAGCTGATAGGTAGATAATTATCAACTATCTGTAAACTTCAGCTGATAAGGCAGAAAGGTAGGCAATTATCAGATACTTGAGTTGACATTTAAAAAATAGTAATTAGCAGAGGATCATCTTATTAGGCTATGTGTTTGACCAGATTACTAATCTATACGACCAAACCTGCATGGTAATGTAACACTATGAATTCAGTGATTAGATCAAAATAAGAAAAGTATCTAAGGTTTTTGCATTGAAGTCAAATGCAAATGAATTTCTTCTAATTTAAAGCAACTAACATATCTTTCAGTTTTAATATTATCTTTTAAAATCTGCGGTTTTTGGTAAAAATAAGATCATAAGTATGTATATCTTGCTTAAGAAAATCATTTAAAACCTATTTTTTAAAGAATATCTATACATTTGTATAACATCTGACTTTACATGTTTATTTTTTAATAAATATGTTTTTTAACCACTGTGCACAAACTTGGTTCCCACCGATATTGTAGATCCAACATTTATAGATTTTCCATCCATCATCACATTTTTGTCTTTAAAGGTTAATTTTGCTTCTTTTCCATCTTTCTTCAGTGTAACTTCTTGTCCTTTCACCAAAGTATCCCATTCAGCCACAGTTACAGGAAAGCTGTTGATGATGGCAGTTTTGCCATCTCCGGTTATAATAAACTCATTGTTATCAACCTTACGTGTAATAGTTTGACCTGGAACCATTTTAGTAATCCATGTTGATGTTGTATAATCGGTATCCTCTAAAATAAAATAGTGTCTGTAAACTCTTTTTATTATTCTATAACCAAAGAAATTAGTATCTTACATGGTATTAGGATTGTTGAACAAACCTTGATAAAATAATTAAATGAAGGGGCCAATCACTGAAAACCTTGATTCAATTAAGTACCATAGTAACTTTATGTACAGTAGGCATACAGAATACAGTACAACAAATGAACCATCTCCCTCTAGTGAGATAATTGTTCACTCAAAGCTGGGGTAAGTGTGACCAGGAATGTTACATGCTGCAGAGCACTTAGTTTTTGGAGTATAGAATGTTAATATTATTACATAGTACATGATGACTTCCCAACAAATTAAGAACACTCTAATCAAATTTAAGATTTTCTAAAATGTTAGTTAAATCAAATTTTTAAGAAACTTTTTTCATATGGTGAAAACATTAAGATTTTTACTAGCATTTTTTGTTAAAAAGCCAAAAAACGCCATAAAAACAAATACAATGTTAAAGGGATGAAATTGTCATCAGAAAAATAATTGCTCCAGGAAGGCTTGAAAACTGTCACTCAACTTTGGCACTGATACACGTTACAAAAAAACGCCAGGATCAAGGTACCATGATACAGTATATTGATTATGCTTTTGCTTACCATCATTCATTCCATGTGAGCTTGATCCTAAGAAATTAAAGAATCACGGATTGTTAATTAATTCTAACATTCTAAATCTTTTTTATTTAAAGTACCTGAAGAAGATGATGAGCCACTTGAAGGGCCTGCTCCAAGGCCTTCAAGCATACTACCTGCCATTGGGGACATTGGAGACCTGTATGACATGCCCATAGATATAGTTGATCCATCTGTAATTGACTTGCCATCCAGCATTATGTTTTTCCCAGAACCAGATAGAACTGCCTCCTTCCCATCAGCTTTCAAAGTCACATTCTCCCCACCCAATACCTTCTTGTAGTCGTCTACAGTGACCGGAAACCCATTAATATTAGCTGTATTGTTTCCTCCAGAAATCTTAAAGTCAGTTCCATCCACGTTTCTATTAATTGTTTGTCCTGGAACCATTTTGGTTATCCAGTCCGAGGTGGTGAAATCAACTTCAGCTAAAATATTTGTATTAAACAGTTAACCAGAAGAAAACAAAGATGATATGCTGAATTTTTGTAGTTACCATCAAGATTTGGTGGAAGTCCTGGCATGCCTTAATAAGATATGATTATAAGTTATTAAACTAAAATAATTCTACAGAAACAGTTTTTTTGTCTCTGTTTGTCAAGGAAAACTGTTAAAATCTGATCTTATTTGACCATTACATATATTGACAATATGTTTTAGCATAACATTTTTTAATTCTCTAATTCTACAATTTTTATGGTTTCCCAAAAATAAAACTTTTCTTTTACAAAAACTTATCTTTTGAACTCAATAGGCAGATTATTTGCTGAGTGGCTACAAAAGTTCTTTCATTTTTCAAACTAATTGAAAACTTGAATGGAGAAATTAAGAAGTTCACTACAATTGTTAAGCAAAGTGTAGTACTGGTCCAAAAAGAGAAAAAGGCACCACAAATTTGACTTTAACTTGTGAAATTAAAACTCGTTTCAAACTATTATAGTAATCAAGTTTTGTTTTGCTGGGATTATGTCATTTATGAATCACCTGTATGTGAAGAGGACCCAGAATACCCTTTTGTTGAAGTTGAATTATTGTCTGAAGATTAAAACAAATTCTCAATAAAATACTCTCTCTATTTTTACATATTTCTTTTTTTTTTTTTTTTTTTTGTCTTATTACTTTTGAAACACCTGCATTTGAAGAATCCCCACTGGGTGAAGTTGTATTTTCGTCTAAAGATTTAAACAAATTGAAGATTGCCAAGTCTAATAATAAGAATTTATTTTAATTTAATAAAACTAATTATGTTTAAACTCGCCTGTAGATGATGCATCTGATCCACTAGGAGCTGGTGTTACAGGAGTTGCAGTTGTTTCATTCGAAGCAGTTGATGCAGCTGTTGTTGAACTGTCTGAAATCATTATAAATACATTCGATAAAATTTTGATATTTTGCATTTAAGTTTATGATAAATTCTAATTCTCTTTTTTCTTCAGTTATTGCTCCAGGGTACGACTACCATGCAAGATATCCAATGAAGATTAAATTAATCTGCAGAAAAGATTGAGATTAAGCATAAATTACAATATCCTCAATACAAAAGTTCCTACCTTAGATCAGCTTTTGAAACAATAGATCCAAGATCCAAATTGAATCCCTGACTGTATGAAATGTAAATCAGTCACCTGAAGAAGTATTAGCTGGTGAAGAAGAAGCCAAAGACATACAGTTAGCAATTTGTGCTCCATCAGTTATTGATTTCCCATCCAATGACACATTTTTTCCAGACACAGTTAGTTTTGCCTCCTTATCTCCAGATTTTAAGGTGACTGGTTGTCCATTTTTAGCATCTTGCCACTCCTTCTCGGTAACTGGAAATCCGTTAATTGTTGCTGTTTTACCATCTCCATTAATAATAAATCCATTTCCATCAACAACTCTGACAAGTGTTTGTCCTGGCCCAAGTTTTGTGATCCAGGAGGGAGAAGTAAAATCCCAATCTAAAGATAATTTTCATTTTCTTAAAGGAATTATAGATGTAATTTTATGTAAATGAACTTTGCAACTCAATGTGGACCTTAGATACTTTAAACTTTCAAATACATTTAGATTTATAAGTTTGAGATATCAAAGGTTTACATCATCAGGTTGCAAAGATAAAGGAATCCAAAATATTGAGTTTGTGATGAAAAATCCATCCCTTTCTTTGAAATTCTCAAACTTACCATTTTCAGAACTTCCATCACTGTGGGATCCATAGGAGGCTGCATTAGAAGAAACTGCAGAAGAATTGTCATTATTACCTTTAAAATTAGCAGTTTAAAGTTATATACAAGATCTGTAAAGAAATTCCTGGAAAAAAATCTGAGAAAATTGGTTTTGATTGACCACCCCCTCCCCTCCCCCACAGTTGGCTTTGGATGGATTTTGAAAGAGAGATGACTTTTCAAATTTTCGAATACAGAAGGAATGTACTATGATGTAGTCCTAGTTTACCTTGTTTTATTTCATAACAAGCTCTCTCTCTTTAATTGGTGGGTGAGAGATGGATTGTTTTCACTTATTTTAAAAACGATTGTTTTGTTTTGAAAACAATAAATAAAAAAGAAAAATGAAACATTTTTAAAAACTATCTTTTCAAGAAGATAACTTTTCTTTAAAAAGGTAATTTTAAAAAATGATATTTTTTTTTTTTTTAAACGATAGTTTTAAAAAATTTTTTTTTTTCAAAAACAATCGTTTTTTGAATTTTAAAATTGGTAGTTTTTAAAAACTATGGTTTTTAAAAGCTATAATTTTTGAAAATGGCCCTTTGTAAATGACCGTTTACGATGACCCTTCATTAACAATTGTTAACGACCTTTAAAAGAGAAAATACTGTTTATGGTCTGAAAATCCAAGGTCAGAAATTATTCAAGTTATTTGTTTTGATAAAACAACATTTTTAACTTTATCTTTCTGAAAAAAAAAATTAATTGTCATAAAACTCACATTCATTAGCAAATTTTTTTTAACAATAGTTTTTTAAATGAAAGCTTTTAGTCTTTTTAAAGTGGATAATTTTCTTAAAATGCTCATTTTCAAAAACCTTCGTTTTTGCTTATTGAAAGTTCAAAGTGAGATGTTTGTTTTCAACCTTTGAAACCCGACAACAACAAGGTGGGTGGTAGGTACTGTTAATTTTTAATCCCACAAAATCTTGTGAACGTATAAAATGCCTTTTTTTGCTAAACAATAGGTGAATTTTTTATTAACATAGGTATGTATGGTAGTTAGCAGATACTTTTCTTATAAAAGTATCAGATTTTTTTTGTAAAATCTTGATAAAAAAAGCAAGAAATTCAACTTTAAAAATCTTTAAATTGCCTCTTTTTTTTCTTTAAGACTTGCTTAAGTTTTTTGTCTTGAAATTGACGGTAGTTTGAAAATGAAAAAAAAAATAATAAATGTTGAAATTAAGATTTTGAAAAGTCAGTGGTAGTGAGGGTAGTTTTTAATTTAAATAAAATTCTTGAATATATGTTGATAAAAAAGTTTCAACTTGTCGGTGGTAGTGAGGGTAGTGGGGAATTGAAAAATAAATTATTGAATAAATGTTGAAAAAAAAGTTTCAACTTGTCGGTGGTAGTGAGGGTAGTGGGGAATTGAAAAATAAATTAATGAATAAATGTTGATAAAAAAGTTTCAACTTGTCGGTGGTAGTGAGGGTAGTTTAAAATAAAAAAGAATTTTGAAAAAAATGTTGATACATAGATTTTAAAAAGTCAGAGGTAGTGAGGGTAGTGGCAAATTGAAAAATAAATTATTGAATAAATGTTGATAAAAACGTTTCAACTTGTCGGTGGTAATGAGGGTAGTTTAAAAAAAAAAAAATTTTGAAAAAAATGTTGATATATAAATTTTAAAAAGTCGGAGGTAGTGAGGGTAGTGGCAAAAAGAAAAATAAATTATTGAATAAATATTGATAAAAAAGTTTCAACTTGTCGGTGGTAGTGAGGGTAGTGGGGAATTGAAAAATAAATTCTTGACAAAATGTTGATAAAAAAGTTTCAACTTGTTGGTGGTATCAACATTTTTTGCAAAATTTTTGTTTTATTTTAAACTACCCTCACTACCACTGACAAGTTGAAACTTTTTTATAAAGCTAATGTGAAAAATAAGGCATTTTATACATACAGCAAAATCTTAACCTTTAGCTGCATCTTTGGAAGCTTCTTCTTCTCCTAGGAGGCTAGATAAAGAGGATGAAGGACCTTTGAATGATATGCTCATTGATATGCTCATTCCATCTGATATTGGTTTCTCATCTAGCTTTACATTCTTATTCTCAGATGATAAAACTCCCTCCTTTCCATCCTCTGACTTTAATGGAACCGTCTTTCCTCCAATAGCCTCATTCCACTGTGCTTCAGTAACAGGGAACCCATTGATGATGGCTGTTTTGCCATCCCCAGTAATTTTGAACTCATTTCCATCAACTGTTCTGGAAACTGTCTGACCAGGCACCATTTTAGAAATCCAACTACTGGAAGAAAAGTCCAAATCTCCTAAAGTAACCTAGATAGGAATCAAGAAATTTAAATATTTTTTTATGATAAAAAGTTAAATATTACACTGTGAGTTTTCCAAAATGTTGGATATTTAAAAATATTTAGCAAATTTTGGTTATATTTTAAAGATTGCAAAATGCAAATTCTTTATATCAAAATTTATTTTTAAGATCTAAAAATAAGGATGGACATTATCTTGAATATTTTGTTTTCAACACAATTGTTTTTTTTTTTTATTTTAAGGGTCCATCTTATGAATTGTTTTGTTTTCAAATTAAGAGATTTTTCAAAATGGAATTTTTTAAAAATATTTTCTATGAATTAAAGGCTGAGAACCAAGTTTAACCTTGAGAACTTCAGCGTTTTTAAAGTTTAAAGTGGGAAAACCTTATTTTTTGCTCAATTTCACAAAATAAATATTAATATATATATATATATATATGTAAATTAAGAATAAAATCATTCAATATGAAAAATCTCTAAAAGCCAAATAACCTTTAATATTTTACAAATTTTGTAAATCATGGAAAATCATCTGAATGAGACATTGGCATGTGTTTTTGTTTATTATGTTTAGGACTATATGTTCATCAATATAAATTCAAGTAAGATGGTTAAATAAGTCTTTGGAATTAAAAGTTTATCAAAATCATTTCTGTTTTAAAACAAAAAAACAAAAATTGGGCTTTTTTCTTTTTTTAACAAAAAACCATACGAGATCGTTTTCTGTTTTGAAACGGAAAAAAGAAAAAGTTTGTTTATTTGTTAAGAAGAGAAAATTGAATTTTTTAAAACAATAACTTTTTTAAATGACTGTTTTGAAATGTTCCAAAACAACAACTTTTCATAATGATCTTTTTTAATTTTTACAAGATCATTGTTTTTAAATTTTTTAAAATAATCATTTTTGAATTTTCCAAAAATTTCAGAATAAGGATTTAAAAAATATGGGAAAATGCCCATTCCTATATTAAAAACAAATTTATCTCTTATCCCTGAAAACTCATTTTAAGTTTTAAGAGAGACAATGGTTTTAAATAATCATATTTAAAGATTTAGTGATTAAGGAAAAACATTTGTAAAGGGGGCAGATTTCAATGGTTCCTGAGTAAAATAAGTTTAAAGTGACTTACCAGGCCTCCCCATAGCAACCTGTTTACAAATTTAATCAGTTAAATGTATGTCTAAACATTTTGAGACATAGAAAATCTCAATAACATTAAACACCAATGACTAAATAAAGTTTAAACCTAAAAACTTTTTTCGAACACTTCCCAAGGATTCACTGTGTGAAAAAAAAATGTCACTTTTAAATTTTTCCTGAATGAGACAAATGAGAAATACGCTTTTTAATGTCAACATTATTTGAAACTGAAACTTGTTAATTTATGTGTAGGCTCGCTATACTGCCTCCAATTAAGAAAAACATATTTTCGCTTGATTACTAAATTTTCTCCAGTATCAAAATAAACAATTTCTTTGATGTTCTGTTATTTCCGTCTTTTAAATAACTGAATTAAGAGAAAGTAAATACAAGGTTAATTAAGCTATGATTATTGGAAAAAGAACGTAAATTGCTTCATGTTTTATAAAGTATTAGATTGCATGTAATATATATTAAGGTTAACATTTCTACTGCATGTGATATTTAGTTATTAGTATATTTCAAATCTACCTGCAAACATGAGGATTATTGATTCTGCTTGACTAAATTTTTTGTAATATGATATTGCTATGAGAATATACAACAATTGCCACACTTCTATATATAAATTATGAATCTATGCTAGGGATTCATTTGTGATAAATATCTAATCAACATTGCATAAAGAGAAATGTAAATAATGAATAGAATTTAAAAATAGCATATTTTTACTGAAATTAAATATTTTTATTTAAAAAATAGTAATTAGTTTGAAACAGACAATTATGTTCTAAAGAAGGCTCAGAATAGCAAGGCAGAGTAATGGTAGGCCAATGAGGTTGCATTATGTGGGGGAAATGCAACCAAACTTTTATCTTCTTAAATCGTGGCTAAAACCAGTTTATGCAGTGCAGGCATAATTATAAATATTCATATGCATAGTCTGCATTAGGGTTGTTAAGGAACGTTGATTAATGACAATAAAATTAATTTTCAAAAAAAAAATAAGCATAGCTAAGGATAAGCTTCCATCCCACAAATCACTCACAACCATGGTTTTGCAGCAGAGCACTTACTTTTATTGCCACCTGTCCTCACCTGATTTGGCTTCCTTGCAAAATTTCTTTACTTTCAGATGTGTGTGGGGATTGTGAAGTGATTGGGGAGTGTGTGGTAAGTGTGCCCTGGAGTGAAGCCCCTACGTATGAAGGAGAGTTGTGTCTGTCCCTCAGCATTAAAACACAATCCACACTTCCAACACACTCCACACTTCTCACACATAACATTCCCCACACACTTCACACTCCTCACACATTCCACACACTTCCCACACACTCCCCAATCACTTCACAATCCCCACACACTGCAAACTGCCTTCACATCTAAAAGTTAAGAAATTTTGCAAGGAAGCCAAATTGGAAGTGTGTTTAAGGCAGAATAGGGTTTGAACAGGTCCTTTCTGAATACTGTCCAAGGATTGGATGTTCCAGGGTGTTCCAGATGGAGGGAAGGTGTTTCAGAGTTGCCTACCTGGCGGAGGAGAGCTGGTCAGAAAAGATCTAACTCCAAGGTGAAGAAGCCGTGAACATATAAAATGCCTTATTTTTGACGACGAAATGTGCACCCTTCAGAAGGTGGGTGGTGAGGATAGTAAAGGTCGGAGAGTGTTATGAATGCCAAAAACAAGCTTAAAACATGTGATTTATGGAATGAAAAGGAAAGGGGAATGTAAAGAGGAAATTTATTTTTTTAACTGCTAGTTCTTTCACACAGAAAACCAGGCAAAGCTATTTTTCCCCTTTTCCACCCTTTAAAAAGCTAGAATATTATTATACACATTCATGTATAAAAGAAGCAAGAATTAAAAAAAAATGAGACATGTATATTACTGAACACAAACACTCCATTTTACAAATTAAATTTAAAAAATTTGTATGCGATGGGATGGGATGGAATGGGATGCGATGGGATGGGATGGGAACTACCCTTACTACCCCAACTACCGTCTGCTTTTTAGAAAGACCCCACCCATACCCTTGAAGTTGAATCTGAATGGCAACTACCCCAACTACCGTCTGTTTTTAGAGAGACCCTACCCCCACCCTTAAATGTGAGTCTGAATGACAACTACCCTTACTACCCCAACTACCGTCTGTTTTTTTAGAGAGACCCCACCCCCACCCTTGGANTTGAATCTGAAAGGCAACTACCCCAACTACCGTCTGTTTTTAGAGAGACCCCACCCCTACCCTTAAATGTGAGTCTGAATGACAACTACCCTTACTACCCCAACTACCGTCTGTTTTTTAGAGAGACCCCACCCCCACCCTTGAAGTTGAATCTGAATGGCAACTACCCTTACTACCCCAACTACCGTCTATATTTCAGAGAGACCCCACCCCCACCCTTGAAGTTGAATTTGAATGGCAACTACCCTTACTACCCCAACTACCGTCTGTTTTTTAGAGAGACCCCACCCCAACCTTGAAGCAGAATCTGATAAAGCCTATCCGATGACCTTTTCAAAGGTCATCGGATAGGCTTATGATCCCCCCCTCCCCCTCAGTATTTGATCAGGATGGGATGAAATAAGAGTTTATAAAAACTGGGCTTTAAAGTGGTGAATTAAAAAATAATTAATTTTTAGTTTTTTTTTTCCTGCATAAATTTTTAACCAGTTTTAAACTTTCCCTTGGGCCATGTGAGTTGCCTCACAAATGTTGGGTTCAGTCGGTTCAGCTGTTTGGACATTTATTGGATACAAACAAACAGACGAGCAAAGTATATAAATAGAGTGAGAACTTTTAGACTTAGATTAAGACTCTAAATAGTTCAATGATCATGAAACATGGAAATTACATAGTTTATACTTTACTGTATACAAATCAATTTAAAAGTGATTTTATAAGTTACTTTTTAACCTATTTGCTTTATAACAACATCAATTAGACTCAAGGATTGCTATACATGTCGCCTTCCTTTCCACCGTTTTCTGTAGATGAAATTATTTTGAGACATGGCAGTCAGGATTATATTATTTCATGATAATTCACAATAGTATTACTTTAAATACAGCTACACCAGATGCACATTCTATTATTTGAAGATAGTATTACTTACTGGTTTTATCTTTTACATAAGTTTAAGATGTCTTCAACTTTTTCCGGAATCTTTTTCTGTAAAATTCCGTAAACTGGAATTTTCCGGAACACTATTCTGTAATGCTCCATAATTCCAGAAAAATGTCCCGGAAATTTACAATTTACGGAAAAAAATCGTTCCGGCAATTGTTCTGAAATTCCAGATTTTCAGAACCTTTTCCATAATGGAAATGGAAAAAATTTCCGGATCAGTCCTTATGTAAACCGTAACCAGAATTTTCGGTGGAAACCCTAGTCCTGTAAAATAAGGAATATTGAGATTTATTTTAATTTATGATTTTATGCGTTCTTTGCATGAAGATATTTATTATATTAAAGTACGTTTATCCTATTTGATATTTCCTTTTTCATGTTGTAAATATTTCATTGTTTTGAATATAATAATTTAGGTCAATCATTTTACTTCCAGAGCAATGATATACTTGAGAGGAAGATCTGAGAAAGTAGATCAAGTCCAGAGTTATGAGGCTTGTAGGGAAATCCGATCAACTTACACAGAGCATGACTAGGTGTGATATATCAAAGAGTATTTTGATATTTTGAGCCTAGAGTTGAGGTGGCTTGACATAACCTAAAGAGTATTAAATACTAACACAACATTGCACACCAAGCTATATTTACAAATAAAATTATACAAACAATAAAGATTAAAAACTTGATAAGAGCAGGAAAGAACTATCAGGCAACTTTGCCTTGCGGAAGTACTTTCTATTGGACCTACCTCCTTTGGTTCCTTGACAAGACTGATCATATCTGGGGTTAAAACTGGCAGATTCCATCTCCCCCAGTACAGAAAAATGTTACTCCTTTTCTAGGCCCTTCTACAACTGCCTGCCTATTCCTTTTCTACATTGCACTCAACACTATTTACAACTGCAACCATGAGATGATTTTTAAATTTAAATGTTTATTTTGTAGCAGAGATTACAATATTACAAATGTATTGCAAGTTTACAACTTTCATAAATGGAAAAACTACATTATTTATTTTCTATATAAATGATTCATATGATAGACACAGTCTCAGGTTCAGGTTCAGGCGCAGACTCAGTCTCAGGTTCAGGTTCAGGCGCAGATTCAAGATTAGGTTCATGATTAGGCGCAGACTTAGGCTTAGACTCCTCAGCCTGTAAAGCCTGGAAAGTAGATTGATCTTAAGTGTTGATGGTGCATATGTCCCAATAAGCTTTGAAATAGGGGAGGAAGAGATGGATGGAAATCTAGAGATCTAGAGATCTAGCCTGCCCAGTGTCCACCTTATCTTTTACATTTTGTAAATAGGCTTTTTTTATATAGAACTTCCACTTTAGAATACTTCCATCAAATTTTTTTAAATATACATTTTTTTTTTAAATATACATTTTTTTTGTAAATATAAATAACACACAAATAGAGGAGCATGTTCTTGTTGGTCAACTAGAGCAATCTGCTTTTGAATTTGTTAAACCCTTACTTAAACTAATCGACTAATCTGTTTAAAAAATATATATTTTTGAAAAATTACATTTATAGTTCACTAATGCATATTCAATTGGTAAAATCTTCAATGTCTCTTCTTCCACATAGAACTCATATGTCCGAAAGATTTTGGAGATCCAAAGCTACCATGAGAGCCAAAGCTAGATGAAGATGAGGAGGACGAGGATGATGAAGACGAAGAGGATGAAGATGAGGAAGAGGATGTGAAAGAGGAAGAAGAAGAGGAGGAGGAAGAGGTTGAACTGTAAGATCTTGACATACTAGTGAGATATCCATAGAAAACCATTCCATCAAACTCTATGACTTTATTAGAAGATGAAGTCATTGTAATTGTCTTACTGCCTGAGGATGAGGTTAGTGTAACTGTGTTTCCTGATAAAGCATCCTGCCATTGTTTCTTGGTAACAGTGTATCCATTAATTGTAACTGTGTTACCATCTCCAGTTCCAATGATTACAAATGTGTTTCCATTAACAGTTCTTCTTATTTCTTCATTTTTCTTTACTTTGGAAAACCAGGTAGTAGTTCTGAAGTCAAGATCCTCTAAAAAAGTATAACTGATATTATTTGGGCTAAAAAATGTAGAGGATTATGTATATATGATTTGAACTAATTTGTACTATGTATAGTAAGGTATAGCTCACCCATTCCCCCTCCAGTGCTTGGCAGAATCTTTGTTCCAAAATAGCCATTTCCAAAATCTAAAAATATTTCTTGAATAAGAGTGATAATATTTTACTTAATTAATAGTATGATTAAAAATGTTTATAAACTTTTTTTTCCATTCTTATCTAAATAATCACCATTAAATCCTCCTAAATTGTTGAAATCAAAAGCTTGTGTACTCGAGATACTGGTTGATACACGCATACCACCAGTAAGTTTTTTATTATCAAACATAATGTTTCCTCGTACTATAGACACTATTACAGTATCTCCAATATCATTGGTCAGTGTCACCTCCTGCCCATCAAGCACTTTTTTCCAAAGAGTCACAGTTACAGTGTAACCATTTATGGTCAATACTGTTTTTTCATACTTAATTATGTATGTGTTATCATCAACAGTCATTGTGACTTTTTGGTTCTTGTCAAAATCAGTTATCCATGTAGTTTTGAAAAAATCAATTCCGCCTGAAATCATTAAAATATGTAAAAACAATCTAATTCTAAAAAATTTTAAATCAAATTTTTAATCTAGTTTGAAATTTTACCAGGAGTTCGGTTTCCACCTGAAATATTTATTCATTATAAAAATATGATAAATTGAAAAGTTGAATTGTATGTTGTTTTTAAAATTTACCTGTAGTTGATGATGGTCTTGTTGATGATATCATAGTTGAAACAAAATTGCCAGTCAGGGGGTTGTTGTTGAAATAAACAGTGTTTTCTTTGTAAGTAAGAGTGGCTGTGTTGCCTTTGGGGGATTTCAGTGTGACGGTATTTCTTTTTAAAACATCATCCCAATCATCTTGCGTCACAGGGAAGCCATTAATGGTGACTTTCTTCCCATCATATATTATCGTAAATACAACATCATCAACTGTTCTTATGATTGTTTGCTGTGTTGTAAATGAAGTGATCCATTGGCTTGTAGTAAAATCAAGAGGGTCCTCAGATATATCATCTTCCTCTATTATCATTATACAATTAGATGGAAAAAGTTGTTTTCTAATGGTAGAAAATACCTGGATTAAATTTTGGATGGTTGGGCCCTCTGATAACTGAAAATAGTTTATGTTGTATCTTAATCAAGGTATAGATAATAAATTAAATTCTTAATGTTCTTACTTGATGTAGGTGTTTGTGATCCTGTTGAACCAATTGTTATAGAAATTGAAACACTATTTCCAGTGAGAGGTTGGTTATTGAAATAAACAGTATTTTTCTTAAATGTCAAAGTAGCTGTTTTGCCTCTAGGACCCCTCAAGGTTACAGTTTCTCCTTTTATTACTGTATCCCAATCATTAACAGTTACAGGGAATCCATTTATCGTTACAGTGTCTCCGTCATAAACAATGGTAAAGGTATTGCCATCAACAGTCCTGGTTATTGTTTGTATTTGTGTGAACTCCTGTATCCATGTTGATGTTGTAAAATCCATGTCACCTACACAATCCAGAATATTTTAAGTAACTCTTCAACTATAAAGGGTTTTTAACAATTCCTTCCAACTCTTTTGCTTTAAAGGGAGTGTTTGCAAAAAATGAAAGGGGGTATAGGCTTAATGCGATAAAAAAGCGCTTTTGATCCCTACTAATCTTACTTCTATCTGTTGCGTCTATAAGGAGAAAATTGTAAAAGACATCTCATACCGTATAGCTTAGCGCCCATACAAATTCAGAAAATTGCAACAGCCCGAGTGGACCATCAACGGCTAAAAAGGTGACAGCAGGGGGTCATTCAGAAAACAAGCTAGAACAAGCCTAAAAATATGTCTATTTGAGATATTATTTTTTCTAACTGTTTTAAGTTTGGGTTTATGGTGGGGAGTATCCTAAGAAAGAGAGGTAAAGAATGTGTTACTATCTTCCTGTCTATTTTCTTATCTTTCTATCTATGTAGTGAATCTATAATCTTAACCAGATGTTAAAATTATCAGAGACCTCCCCTTTCTATGAATAAATTGTCTTCTCCCCCTCTCCTCCCCCCATGTCTTATAAGCTGTTAGAGGTAGATCTTGTTTATACAGTTTTTTTTGTCAAAATTAGCTTAATATAGTTTAAGCTGTTTCGATTGCGACTTATTTTGACTAAACGCAACTTAAAAATATTTTTGTTGTTAAACATAATTTTATAAAAATTCATCAAAAATTTAACATTACAAAAATATTTTTGAATTTTTTAAAATCACATTTTATTTTTTCAAAAGTTTAAAATTTTTGTCCAAAACATTGATAATCCCGTTTTTTTGGTTGGGGAGGGGGGGGATGTTAAGTATATGGCTGGAAGAATATCACATATCCCTATTTACCAAATTTCATATTTCACCAACAGTGTGAAAATACTATTTTGATGAAACTACATTAGATGCCACTAGATGGCTCTAGTAGTGCTAGTTTAAAATCTATGTATGAATGAATGTACTTAAGTTTTTACAAATTTTTCTTCATAATATTTTCTATAATTTACATAAAGCTTTAATAAACTTAATTATCTGTTTAATGTTTTTTTCAATTGCATCTTATGTGAATATACTCACAGAATCAGGAGGAGGGTTGAATCTTTAAATGCTCAGAGCAAGTTGTTTACAATTATGAATATACTTCACAGGATCATTTCTGTAGTATGATTGACAAGTTTCCTGTCTGAAACTTGAAACCTTATTTAGCCATGATGATGAGACACATGGCCTGTTCAGAGGGTGATTAAATTACTTTTTTAATCTGAGCATAGACAGGATTTTTATGGTTGGGGGTACCCTGTACACTGACCCTGTGTACGCCCCTGACCTGAGAGAGCTTATAAACAATATTTTAGGCACATATTTAGTCCTATTTTTAGTTGCCTAGTTAGGCGGGCAATCCTATTTTTAGTTGCGTAATTAGGCAGGCAATCCTATTTTTAGTTGCCTTATTAAGTGGGTAATCCTATTTTTAGTTGCCTTATTAGGCAGGCAATCCTATTTTTAGTTGCCTAATTAGGCGGGCCTAGTTGCCTAGATTAGGCAGGGTTGGTCGCATTACCAGCTGCCTTCCATGGTAGCTGTAAATGCCACAGCTGGGCACACAGACACACACATACAGACAAATATGGCAAGACCCCCGTCGGGATACTGAACTTGTAACCTCACACCTTTCCGTTCTGAGCACTGACTAAAATGGGCTTTTCAGTTATATTTAGTCCTGATCCTCTTGATGAATAATAAGTGTCTCAAGGCACTTAAATAATACTGACTAATAGTCACAAATAGTCTTTAATATTTAGAGCTTTGGTCTATCCAGGAGACAACTTAGACCGTAAAAAATCAATTTAATTTCAAACAAATCATTCAGATATTACAACCTATAGTCATCGATTATCTTTCGCCACATTTGTATATAGTTTATATTTTATAATATTTTTTAATTAATTTGTTTTGAATTTGATTATTTCTCTTGTTGCTTGCGCAACTATATCTTTGAAATCCGTTAAAACGTTCTCTAAAAGAATAAATTATTATAAAATATAAACTATATACCAATTTGGCGAAACATAATTGATGACTATAGGTTGTGATATCTGAATAATTTGTTAGAAATTAAATTGATTTTTTACGGTCTAAGTTGTATGTTACAATTTTCTGAATTTGTATGGGTGCTAGGTTATTCAGTATGAGACGTCCTTAACAATTTTTTCCTTATAGACGCAACATATAGAAGTAAGATTAGTAGCAATCAAAAGCGCTTTTTTATCCCATTAAGCCTATACCCCCTTTCATTTTTCCCGAACACTCCCTTTAATAGAAGGCAATATGATAACAAATATTTAATGTTGACTAAATATTTACAACTTTACAAGGTGCAGATTTTTATAAGATGTATTCTCTATATTTTGTGACTTACCATTAAAGCGTGAGAATGTTCAATTGCATTAATGTTTACTGATTAAAATTATTAAACTTTCTTAATTATACCTGGAATAATTTGTATTTTATAGCTTGGTCCCTTTGGTACTTAAAAAGATTATACGTTACTTAAACATTTTCTTCAATGATTATTCTATTACAATACCTCTTCTTGTTGTGGTAGTCTGTATCTCCGTAGTAATTTTGTTTCCATAGAAAGGGTTATTATTGAAACTGACTTTATTGGGTTTTTCAAACGTGATTGTTGCTGTTTTTCCATCAGGTTTCTTCAATGTTACAGTATTTCCCTTAATAAGGTTTTCCCAATCCTTTTCTGTGACTGGGAAGTCATTTATGGTAACAGTAGTTCCATCATGAGTAAAAGTAAACGTAAAACCATCAACTGTTCTTTTAATTTTTTGATTTTTGTCAAAATCTGTTATCCAAGTGGTTGTTGTGAAATCAGTATCACCTAGAATATTTTAGACATTTTTAGAATGTAGGGCTTGAAAACGTGTCACTGGTCTCAAGGGATACTATTTTTTTGGTAATGTACCAGGAATATTTTTAAAAATCTAAATTACATCATTTTCTGGCACAATTCATGAAATTAATATGTTAAATTATATACCGTGAAACCCTTAATAATGAATACATCGAAAGAATTCATCAAATGTCGTATTCTTCACTTTCTGATAATGGAATGTTGCAGATATTTAGTTTTTCAATTAAATGATTTTATGGAACTCTTTAAAACTGTTCCCGCATATTCATGGCTATTTATTTATTTTCACAAATTCTGAAATTTACGTAATACAGTATAAAATTCATTGAAAAGTTGTCAAGACGACATTTGATAAATTCTTCCGATGTATTCGTTATTAAGGGTTTCACTGTATATTGTTTAAATTTCATATCAATTAAAAGTTTAAACAAAAAATGTGTAAAAAGCATTATTTAAACATTAAAACGACCCTGTTCAAAGTTCTAATAAAAAAAAGATGGAAGATATATCAATTAAGATGTGTTTAACTGTGCAAATACTGACGTAAATAGTTAATAAATCATAAATATTTTAATTTTTAGATGGCTACAACTCCCTGCTCAACTGTATGTTTACCCTAGAATAAGAGGGGGGCAATCCCCCCCCCCTCACTTCAAGCAGGCTGATATAAACAGCTATGATAACAGTTTATATTAACATGTATAAGGTGCATTTAAAAGGTACTTACTGGGACTTATGAATACTTGAGTGGTAGATGTGGAGAATGTTGAATCTAGTTGCATATAAATAAAATCATAATTGGCATTATTGGTTAAGTATATATCAATTAATTTTAGTTCAAACTTTAAAAGTTTAAATATTACTTGGAGTAAAAGGGTTATTGTTAGGATTCTCATTATTAGGTTGTCCTCTTGTTTTAGGAACATATTCAGGATATTCAGGATATTCCAGTTCATTATTGCCATCATTAGGTCCACTAGGATTGTTAGGTCCATTTGGATTAGTGCTAGGATTTTCATCATTGGGGTTATTTGGGACTTCTCTCCCATTAGGTCCATTAGGATTATTAGGTCCATTTGGATTATTGCCATCATTGGGTCCACTAGGATTGTTAGGTCCATTTGGATTAGTGCTAGGATTTTCATTATTGGGATTATTTGGGACTTCTCTCCCATTAGGTCCATTAGGATTATTAGGTCCATTTGGATTATTGCCATCATTGGGTCCACTAGGATTGTTAGGTCCATTTGGATTAGTGCTAGGATTTTCATTATTGGGATTATTTGGGACTTCTCTCCCATTAGGTCCATTAGGATTATTAGGTCCATTTGGATTAGTGCTAGGATTTTCATTATTGGGACTATTTGGGACTTCTCTCCCATTAGGTCCCCTTGGGTTTTCTGGGTTTTCAGTTATTGTGACCGTATTAGTAGTCTCGGGCCCTGTAATGGGTTTTCCATTGAAATATATTTCATCATTCTTTTTGGTAAGAGTTGCTGTATCATCGGGGTTTTTCTTTGTTAATTCAACTGTTTCCCCTCTGATAACTTGGTCCCAATCTTTTCTGGTAACAGGGAAATCATTGATGTAAAGTGTGTCACCATCAAACCTTATGGTGAATATGTTGTCTCCCACAGTTCTAATGATTTCTTGTGGTTTTGTCAGTGAGTCAATCCATTCAGGTTCTTTAAGATCAATCAGTTCTAAAATGAAACATGTATAGTATATATGTAATGTATATTATATAAAGTAGTAATCTCTGTGTTTAATTGTTTGTCCCATCATAAATTATGAACCTCTTGACAGATTTAACTCAAATTTTGTTTCGGTAACTTGGTAAATTAGAAAAAACATTCTGAGCTTGTTTTAGAATTTTCAGCTATTTAGAGAAAGTTCAATTTTCAAAAAAGCTGGATTCCTTTGCTTGTATTGTAAAGTATTGTCTCAAAATATTCGCAATTTAAATCAATTTACCTTCTGGTTCAGGTTTAGTGCTTGTTGGCGTGGTACTTGTTGGTCCAAAATTATAGGTAGTAGTAATGGAATCATCATACAGTGGATTGTTATCAAAATAGATATTATTGTTTTTATAAGTAACAGTTACTGTGTTTGGACCATCTTTTAATGTTTCTTCACCATTATCTAAAACATTTTGCCATTCTTTCACAGTTACAGGGTAGTGGTTGATAGTTACAGTCCTTCCATCATAGATTATTGTAAATTTGTATCTCTTTACAATTCTGGTTATTGTTTGCTCTGTTAACATCCTATTTATCCAGGTGGTTGTAAAGAAATCGATATCTCCTAAACAGTAAGAAAGATTTACAAATAAACCTTTGAAGTTTCTTTTTAAATTGGTCTCTTACCATCTTTTGGATAATCACTGTTTCCATTGCCTAAAAAAATTTAATTATTAAAAAGTTTTTAAAATCTGTGATTTTACTTTTCTTTTTTAACTTACCTGGTGTTTTGGGCCTATTGGGTTTTCCAGGTTCTTCTTCCCAGGGATTATTTGGTTTTCCAGGAGATCCAGGTTCTCTATTAGGAGTTTCACTTCCTTCAGGAT